TAAGAGAAATGTCAAGCAATAATCTCTGCTCAACAGGAAAGAATTTCTTGCTGCTCCCTCCTGGATCCTTCAAGGCAGAATTAATTTTCTCAGGTTCTGAACTTTATTATTAAGCATGCACATAAATAACACTAATAAAGTGTGACTATGTGTTTTATAGACCCAGTTCTTGTAGCATATTCTCCAAAATACCACCTCACTATTTAAAATGCTAAGGTATTGGAACCCACTACTGTTCACTTTACCGCTTTGTATAGATATAAGTAGTTCAGGATATTTCACAGATAACCAAATAAATATCACTTTGCTATTTATTATATTCCCTGGAGCAAGTCAATATAAACTTGAAGGTAAGGAGCTATTTCAAATAAACAGATTTCTATAAAGCCACACTTTATATCCCTATATATTGGAGCCAGAACTGGATGAATGGTAGGAAACCCTGTATCTTCTATTGAAGGAAGTTTTATACCTGTTGAATTTTCACGAGCTGGATGTAATTTTAAATGCAGAAACTTTAACAGAGATAGAATGACAGAGACATGCTAGAATAATTTCCATATGTATTTACCTCCCTCTCTGTCCTACCCTCTCACCAGTTTCAGACTACATTTATGATATAAAAATGGATGGGAATGCCTGGAATATGTAGAGCAACTCTGTGGGATTAGATTTTTCAACATTTTGTTACAGGTTGGAAATGTTCTCTTCATCCTTGGGAAAACCTGTTCTCAGTTTTTCCATGAAATGAGTACATCACTCATTCAAACTTATGAAGAGTTAAAAATGTCCATAATGGTACAATATAACATGACTAAAGAGTATGAGCTCTGTATTATCTTTTCATCCTGTCTTTTTTTGGTCTGTAAGTGAATTTTAAAGTTTGCTTCTCTTCCCATTGTAGTTCAGTATTGGTCATTGTTTGCCATTATTGTGAAATTTTGTTTTATTTATTTTTTTCCTAGAATTACCATAAAATAAATACAAATAATGGTACTCTTTTTCCTGATTTATCAAGTGTCATTTCTTTTGTGTGTGAATGGGTATATTTCATTAATGGCTTCTGTGGTATAACTCTGTAATTAATATTTATATATTAGCTACAGTATCTGTTCTTAGGAAAAAAGAATTATATAGTATAAAATTGAATGTTTTAAAGCATTCAAGTAAACCAAAAATATTTCCTCAAAAATGTGTTGAAAGGATGTAACAATCCAGCATGTGATTTTAATTAATGTCCAAGTAACTAAAAATGTATTTAGTTCATAAAGAAAACATATTGACATCTAATTATGGATCATAGAATTTGGTGCAGCAAAACTGTAGTGCATCTGTTCAGTGAAAACATAATCATGGAGAATACGAAATGGCACAATATATAATGAAAATTGAAATAATGCACAAATAAGACCATTAAAAAATCACAGTGTGAAACCAAATAGAGTTGGGTTTTATAAAGAGAAGATTGGTAGTTCTAGATTTACTGGTAACAGAGAGTGTCAAATTCATACAAAATGTACTCACTATGCTAATTTTAATGGTAGTACCGCAGAATATTCCCTCTTTTCTCTTTTAATGAAATTCAAAAATTTAAAGTAGAAGCGGGAAGTTGGCACCATTAGCACACTTTCATATTTTCAGACTAATAACATAATATGTATAGTTTTAACTAAGGATTATCTTTTGGCAAGTCATTTTTAAAAATTAATGATGCTAAAGGCTAACAGATGCCAAGAATAGTAACATTATTTATTGTATAAATGACATTATTTTTACAGTATTCCTGGTTCAACCTCCTTTCTTCTTTCTATTGATTTGGCTCATGCCCTCACTCCCTCTTACGTAGGATTTCAGTATCATTGATAGCCCATCAACTGGTTTCCTTGATTCATAGTGGATCCCAGACCTTCTGGTCGCTTTCCTTTTCAATCTCTTATGTAATTTACAGCAGTGATTCTTGGTTTGAGCTTGCATAGGAATTACCTGGAGTACTTGATAAAACACAGAACGGTGGAATTCCAGAGGTTCTAATCCACTTGGTCTGGGAAGAGGCCTGAGAATTTCCATTTCTAACGAGTTCCCAGGTGATGCTGATGCTGCAGTTTCAGGGACCACACTTTGAAAACCACTTCCTTGGAGCCTTATAGATTACCTTAAAGCCAGTCTGGCCCTAATACTCCCCTTTCTACAACCCTTTTTTATCTCGTAGGAGTATTTAGAATCAAGCTAAACTTAGCAGGGTATTTAGCAATTGCTATCATGTGCCCCACCCATTCCAAGTCTGTCTTTTCTGCTCATCTTTAAGTTGTTTTCCCCTGGACCCTTAACACTATAGCACATAGAGTAACTAATGCATTATTCTCCATATGGTTCAAATATGGAGAATTCTCCACAATTTTCCCTATTGTCCAAATGGTTTCCTACCTTCATCCCATTGTTATGTTATTCCAATTAATCTAGAAAGCTCTTCTTGATCTCTATATTTCAGTCATACAAGTTTCAGCCCAAATATCTCATCCCCCATAAGGCATTCTTGGTTCTCTCTCATTTACTTAAGTCACAAGTAATGTGGCACTTCTCTGAAGTCTTTCTGCATTTCATTTCTCTTACATTTCATTTCCACTTTCTCTACATTTTATTATTTTTACTTAGATACATATCTAAATTCTTCCATTAGCTTGTAAGGTATTTCAGAGCACATTTTGGGTTTTATTATCTTTTCTAGCACAGTATCTTAGAAAGAGAAGTCATTAATATATATGTGTGGATTTCTGTTATTTATATAATAGTCATGAAAATGGAAGTAATAAACATGATATTATATGATAATAATAAGAGCAACTAATAGCTGCTGGATTCTTATTATGTGGCTAGGCATGGTTCTAGTTTCACTCATTACTTCTTTTAACTTCTTCATTATCCCCATATTTTCATTTTCATTTTATAGGTGAATAAACTGAGACACCAAGAAGTTAAGTGACTATAGTCACCCAACTAGTAAGTAGAGTAGCTGGGATATGACCTCCATTAATAAGCCTCAAGAATCAAATGACCTGATTCCTTAGATAATGAAACTTTTAGTACCATAAAATAAAGATGCTTAAAACTTTGGTACAAAGTAGACAGATATACCTACACTTATTCTGTAGTTTAAAAATCTCTCTAAATAATGATGGCCACTGACTCATATTCAGTAGCAAAGTAGCTTCAAATATTCTTCCAGTTGTAACCCTGGATCCATTCCACTTATATGGTCACTTATACACAGTCACATGAAACCTAAAGTACCCATTGTCTTGTTCCTATGAAGGCATGGTAAGACATGTTTCTCTAAGAGTGCACTCTGGCCTCCATGAACCAGTGCTACCTTAGGTGTTTGGGAAAAATAGTCTCAGAATTCACCCAAATAAATTAAATTTGCATTTCCCCCCAGGTATCCTGGTGGTTCTTATGTACACTCTTTTCAGTATAGCTCTCTCTCAGGATCATCAAACTCATGAATATGGCCTATCAACAGCATTCTTTCAGTACGCGAGGGATGAAGCATGGGAAAGTCGATTCTAGTTGGTGACAGTCCTGAGTTAGGTTTCACATAGGATGCCTAAGAAGGCAAAAAGTCCAAGTGGAGATTTGTTTGGATTACCAGGGATTCTCTTAAAATGATGGTAACGTGGAGAGTTAGTATAGGTTATTTTAATCAAGTAATCAAGTCCCTTTCCTTTTAACACATATAGAACTAGGCTGTTCTAACATTTGTTAATCTGAGATAATATACCACCACCTTTTAAAGGAAAACAAAACAAACACCTCTTTGATCTTCATAGTTAACTCAAATTCTATTTAATATAAAGTTTCTTAAATATTGTACAAACATAACACAATGTTTACATTTTATACAGCTATAAAATTAAACCTAATGTTTAAGTTCAAACAAAACTACAGAAACATAAAATTCAAGTAAGAAACATTTAAAATGAGCCAGAATTTTTATTTAAACTGTATTTCTCCTGTTATATTTAAAAGTGATACATGTACCTCTTTGTTTACTGTGTCACTTGCTGTCAACTTAATTTTTATGCTTTAGAGCATAAGGGGCTATAATTTAATTCATCATCATTACAACTATTTCTCCTTTTTAACTGTTATTTTAAACTACCATTCTATTATTTTCATGGATCAATCAATTTAAGAATATGTACACAATATAAAATATAGTAATACAATTGATCAAAAATTAAATGAGAAATTCTCCAGAACCTATTTGTCTTTATGTGCTCTGATAATGAACTGTTGTAAGATAGTCTGTAGTCAATGGGCACTTCAAAGACTGGCCTTTGCTGTCTGTCAGGGAGGTTTTTCTCTGGTCAGTATGTTTCTACAATTGTAAGCTTTTTGATGACTCAATATCATTCAGAATGCATGCTGGGCATCATTTGGCCTTCAGTCACTTAGAATATGTTCAAATGTAACTTAAGTACCTGGTCACAGGTAGTCACATAGTTGGGATGGAATATGCAAATATCAACTTTCCAAAATTCTTTTAGAAAAGAAAATATAACACTAAAACAAAACAAAACTTCCAGAGCTCCAAAGCCAAAATGAGTAGACCTTTGCTCTTGGGGTCCTTAGAAACCTGAAATCATTCATTGGAGCACTGGTTTGGATTGGGAGTAGAGTAAAAGAGGAAATTAGTATAGGAGAAGACAAATTTTGGGTAATGGGCACCTCAAGGGGTAGGAGATTTATTAGATATTCAAAAAGAAGAGGGCTTAAAGAAGGAAAGAATCCTACGAGGAGAACATTGGAAAAGTAAAAAATAAACCACTGGTGCTCTTGTCTATTATTTTATGTCCTCTCTTGACACTTTCCTTGCAGGCCACTTAAAATCCCACAGTCAGGCAACTCTATGCTACACAATAGAGGACTTCTGATACAAGTAAATTGAACAAAGCAGCTTAAGGTACTCAGGTTGATTTTTTGGGGTCTCCGTTCTGCTACAGCTTATAGTGACAGGCTTGCATATATCACATGTGTTGTTCTGCAATTTTCACCCTGGATTTCTAATTGCTTAAGGTCATTTGAATATCTTCAAATTCACTATATCAAATTGATAACACTTCCAAGAATAAAGTAACAAAGTTTGCTTTCCTGGCTTCACAAAGAAAATTTCTTCTTAAACATCCTTTATGGATACAAATCTGAATTAGTTCTGAAGAGTTCCATATTGAAAGAGTTTAAAACTATTTTTCTCCTGAAACTTATTTTATTGTATAACAACTCACTTTGTGCAGACATCCTTCCTCAGATCTAATCTAAACCCTCTGTACTGCATTTTATTCTTTTCCTTTTGTTCTGGCTCAGCAATCAGAAGAACAGATGGCCATCTTCTGTCAGTACTTGAAGACTGTTTCTAAGAAACATTAAGCCTCCATCAGGCTCACTTGTTAATGCAAAAGTCCTACTCAGGACAGAAGCTGGGACAATCTTTGAAGTCATCAGGTAAGTCTTAAAGCCCCAGTTTTACTTTTCCTTATTTTCAGTCACTTAATATCTTTAGTTTTTCTGTTTTTCTCATCTATAGCTTATCAAACAACCTTCAGATGTATAACTGTTAACCTTATCCACATGAAAGTGTAAATAATTGCTACAGTGTAAAATGTAAGCTATTGAAGAGGATGGCTAAATTTTAACAAAGAACATTTTTTTCTTACATTTATGTTTTAATTGTAGGGTTACTATATAAATTAGATAAAGGAAGGTAGAAGACTACTGTCAACATCACTGAAATCATTTTGTGTAGGTAATCAGATAAAATGCTCCATATTTGTACAGAAGCTCCCCTCAGCTGTGATTTGTTCAACAAGTATTCCTTGAACATCTAGCGTCTGGGACCTGGGAATCTAGCAGTGAACCAGACAGTGTCTTAGCGAAGTAGCAAAGTAATATCCATTTGGGCATAGAAACCCAATAACGAACCAACAAGAATAAGAAAATACTGGGTGTGAAAAATGCAGAGAACTAGTATAGGGTGGGGTGACAAAAGAGTGACTGCCTGGCTACCTTTAGATTTGGGAGTCAGGAAAGGCTCTTCCCAGATAAGTTAACATCTGAGTTGGAATCTGAATAAGAAGGCAGAGTCAGTCGTACTCAATGAGGGAGAATGGTGCTCCAGGGAGAGATAAATATACCACAGTGTTGTTTTAACCATAGTACATTCATACCTCATTTTATTGCAGTGCAGTCAAACCTTATTTCATTGTACTTTGCTGTATCAAGCTTTGCAGATAGTGTTATTTTTACAAGTTGAAGGTTTGTGGCAGTCTCACATTAAGCAAGTCTATAGTATCATGTTTCTGATAGCATGTACTCGCTTTTATCTCTGTGTCACATTTTGGTGATTCTTACAATATTTCAAAGTTCTTCATTATTATTGCATGATCCTTACTGTCACGTGTTATGTTGTTATAGTAATCTACCATCAGTGATCTCTAATGGTACTGTTGTCATTGTTTTGGGGTGCCATGAGCTGCACTCATAGAAGACGGTGAACTTAATCAATAAATGTGTGTGTTCTGACTGCTCCACTGACCATTCTCCAGTCTTCCTCCCTTTCCTTTGGCCTCCCTCTTCCCTGGGACAAAAAATATTGATATTAGGCCAGTTAGAAGCCTTACAATAGCTTCTAAGTATTCAAGTGGAAGGAATGGTTCCATGCTTCTTACTTTAAATCAAAAGCTAGGAATGATTAAGCTCAGTGAGGAAGACATATTGAAAGCTGAGATAGGCTGAAAGCTAGGCCTCTTGCACCACACAGTTAGCCAAGTTGTGGATGCAAAAGGAAACATTTTGAAGAAAATTAAAAGTGTTACTCCAGTATACACACAAATGATAAGAAAGTGAAACAGCCTTATGACTGATACAGAGAAAGATTTAGTGGTCTGGATAGAAGATAAAGTCAGCCACAACATTCCCTCAAGTCAAAGCTTAATCCAGAGCAAGGATTTCACCCTCTTCAATTTTCTGAAGGTGGAGAGAGGTGAGAAAACTGCAGAAGAAAAGTTGGAAGCTAGCAGAGGTTCGTTAAGATTTAAGGAAAGAAGCTGTTTCCATAACGTAAAAGTGCAAGGTGAAGCAGCAAATTATCTGGAAGATCTAGCTAAGATCATAGATAAGGGTAACTACACCATACAACAGATTTTTCCATGTAGATGAAACAGTCTTATATTGCAAGAACATGCCATCTAGGGCTGTTATAGCTAGAGAGAAGAAGTCAGTGCCTGGCCCCAAAGCTTCAAAGAACAGGCTAACTTTCTTGTTAGGGGATAACGCAACCAGTGACTTTTAAGTTGAAGTCAGAGTTCATTTACCATTCTTAAAATTCTAGGGCCTTTAAGAATTGTGCTATCTACTCTGCCTATGCTCTACAAATGGAAAAACAAAGCCTGACTGACAGCACACCTGTCTATAGTATGGTTTATTGAATATTTTAAACTGACTGTTGAGACCTACTGCTCAGAAAAAAAAAAAAAATTCTTTCAAAATATTACTGCTCATTGACAATGCACCTGTTCACCCAGAAGCTCAGATAAAGATAGAGGTACAATGAAATGAGTGTTGTTTTCATACTTGCTAACACGATATCCATTCTGCAGCCGATGGATCAAGAAGTAATTTCAACTTTCAAGATTATTATTTAAAAAATCCATTTCATAAGGCTGTAGCTGCCAGAGATATTGATTCCTATGATGAATCTGGGAAAAGTAAGTCAAAAAAAATTCTGGAAATGATTCATCATTACAGATGTCATTAAGTACATTTGCAGTTTAGGGGAGGAAGTCAAAATATCAAGATGAACAGGAGTTTGGGAAGAAGTTGATTCCAACTCTTATAATGACTTCAAGGGGTTCACAACTTCAGGAGAGGAATTAACTGCAGATGTGGTGGAAATAGAGAATTAGAATTAGTGGAACCTGAAGATGTGACTGAATTGCTACAATCTCATGATAAAACTTGAAAAGATGAGGAATTGCTTTTTATGTATAAGTAAAGAAAATGGTTTCTTGTTATGTAATCTACTCCTGGTGAAGATATTGTGAATACTTTTGAAATGACAACAATGGATTTAGAACATTACATAAACATAGTTGATAAAGCAGCAGTGGCAGTGTTTGAAAGGATTGACTCCAATTTTGAAAGAAGTTCCATGAATAAAATGCTATCAAACAGCACTGCATACTACAGAAAATCTTTTGGGAAAGAGAGTCCATAGATAGTGTAAACTTTATTGTAGTCTTACTTTAAGAAATTGCCACAGCCACCACACCCTTAGGTAACTGACGTTCTGATCAATTATCAGCCATCAACACCTAGGGAAGACCCTCCACCAGTAAAAAATTACAGCTTGCTAAAGGCTCAGATGATTATTAGTAATTTTTAGCAAAAAAGTGTTTTTAAGATATGTATTTTTAAAACATAATTATGTTGCACACTTAAAATTAATAAACTATAGTTTAAATATAACTTTTCTATGCATGGGAAAACCAAATAACATGTGTGACTCACTTTATTGCTATATTTGCTTTATTGCAGGGGTCTGGAATAAACTGAAATATTCTCAAGGTATGCCTATAATATGTTGCTTCCCAATGGTTCATTTGTCTACTAAGACCTATAGATATTTATACTATTATCCAATACAAATATTTTTTATTTTTACATCTTTAGTATCCTATGTGGTTTTCCTTATAAAGAATAAGAACCAGCAACACACAGTAGCTAACTTCTGTAGTACCAGCACTTTGAGAGGCTGAGGCATGAGGATCGCTTGAGCCCAGGAGTTCAAGACCAGCCTAGGCAACATACAAATAACTCATCTCTAAAAAAAATTTTTTTTAATTAGCCAGGTGTGGTGGCATGTGCCTGTGGTTCCAGCTACTCAGAAGGCTAAGGCAGGAAGATCTCTGAGTCAAGGAAGTCAAAGCTTTAGTGAGCACTGATTTTGATGCTGTATTCTAGCTTGGGTGACAGAGAGAAACCCTATTTAAAGCAAAACAAAAAACAAACAAAATAATAATAATAATAAAAGACTAAGAACCAACAATCATTCACTTTATCATATATTTTTTCATTTCACATTTTATTTAAAAACTGTCATGCTATATTCTCACCTTCAATGAACACCACTATTCTGTATTTAGTATCTTTATCAAACTTAATTTATAAGTATCTTTTGGATTTTTCCAGGTTTTTGATGAAAATAGAAGTCTAAATTTGGACTTTACTATTATGATGAAGTTCTTGAGGGGAGTATGGTAGGAGGGATTAAAAAGAGGAATTTTTTTCAGCTGTGAAAATTTAACATATCTCTTTTTTAGGCTATGTGTTATAAGAATTTGTATAGGTTATAGTTGAGAGGGATGGAGCTTGAAATAGCACTGAGGTAATTTTTTAAATCATCACTTGTATCAACAAAATCCTTGTATAGAACAAATCTGTTTAAGTTTTGGACATCTAGAGTCGGTATATGCTACTGATTGTCCAATATTCTGTGGTCCCACATCAGCTACTTTCAACTTTCTATACAGATAAAGAAGAAATAATTGTTTTCACTGATTAGGAGAATGCAAACCTTTTAATACTTTGTGTATCAATGTTACCTTTTTATGTTTATTAATTAAAATGCTGATAAGAGAAGAATTAAGATAAAAAAGAGAAACTGTATGTACCTTTTCCTCACAAACATGCTCTTAAACATTGGCTCACTGATGATGCAATATTCTTGTGAGAGTAGCCTCTACATTCAACACATTGTGTTTATTCACACTTCACTCATTCACTATGACAAATTTACCAATACGAATGAGACCATCAGCGAGCCTACTGTAGAAATATACATACTTTGATACTTAATGCACATGCTTTTTTTGTTGAGGTAGAAGATGAATTTTGTTGAGCTAACTCAAGAATTTCTGAATGAAGGTGGAAAATGCATATTCCCCAAATAAGCAAGAGGCATTTGTGGCTAAAACCATTATAGGGTCTAAAATTCTGAGGAGAGACATTATTTTATATTCGCTTCAGAGAAACATTATTTATCTCTGTTGGCCAACATACTTTGAAACAACTATTTGGTTTTAATGACTATATATCTTGCCACTGTGCCATCAGTAATTTGAACAGCTTGAAATACTGTATGTCACCTTACATTGCTTTCCCTTTGTAGCAAACACAATCACTGGATTGTTTTTCATTGATTTAAAAACATTGACTTGCTGAAGTATGAGCCTGTGTGCAGTCATATTTCTTGTTCTTTCTTCCTCAGCAAAGCCTGCGATAATTCTTTGAGTTTTAAGCAGGTGTCATGCATCAGATCCAAGTGCTTAATAAATGCACCAGAAGTATATTTTCCTTTAGGCCTTGTGTTTATCCCGTTTTCATTTATCTTGTGAAATATTTCAAATGCTTTTCTAAACTCCTGGGAAAGAGCAGGCTAGCATTTCCACTTGGCAAGCAGAACTATAAGTATAAGCCTCCCCTGTCTATTGTGACCTTAACCAACATTAGTGATTCCCAGCCTGTGTGCCAAGGGCCCTTGAGGAGTGATGAAAGTTATTGGATAGGGCCCATCAATCCATATGTACGGTAAGCATTTTCTTTGGTAATCTGAATAAATATATCTAACATAAAACATACTGTTTTTTCCAAATGCATATAAATTCTATCAATAAAATACAACTACATTCATAAGTGATCTTGATTTCATGGTGGTTTTTTTATTTTATATTTTCTCAGTTAATGGATAGTCCAACTGGGTTATCTGCATTTTTTTTCAATGTAATTGACAGTGCTCAATGCATTACATTTTAAGAAAAGATGATGTTATTGACCACAGGTATTGTATTTAAACCACATTGAAATAATTTTTGTTATACTAATATTGTGAGCTGGCTACTAGCAATTTCACTTTCATTTTATCAATATTATACTAATAAATTAATCATAATATAACTAACAATAACCATAATAGCTATTGTATTGAGTGCAGGCAGTCATTTCATTTTTACACCAACCCTGTAAAATTATTATTATTATGATTCCCATTTCACTAAGAGGAAATCAAGACATGGAGACTTCAAGAGTATTGCCTTAGCACCCACAGTTAACTAGTAAATAATGTGAACTTTAAATCCTAGTTTAGCCACCTGACTCCAAACACCTTGTTCTGTTGATTCCATCACATTGCAGAGCAGTATGACATGTAAGACATACATATCGATGCTGTGCTTAATTCTGGAAGGCATTGATTTGTGCAAGAGATATGATGGGAACTTCCTTAATTTATATCGAATCTAATCAGTAATGATTCTTTAAAAACATTTATTTGATGAAGATTTGTTTGTGAAATCCTTAAAAACACGAACACTATTCAAAATGGGCAATTACAGTTACTACCCTTTATTACTAAACCAGCAACCGCCTACTAGACATGGCCAATTTTTACCTGCTGTTTCAAATATCAAGAAAAGGCCAAGACAGCCGGGCGGCGGTGGCTCACACCTGTAATCTCAGCACTCTGGGAGGCTGAGGTGGGCGGATCACGAGGTCAGGAGATCAAGACCATCCTGGCTAACATGGTGAAACCCTATCCTACTAAAAATACAAAAAATTACCCGGGCATGGTGGCGGGCGCTTGTAGTCCCAGCTACTCGGGAGACTGAGGCAGGAGAATGGCATGAACCCGGGAGGCGGAGCTTGCAGTGAGCACAGATCGCCCCACTACACTCCAGTCTGGCTCCAGCCTGGGCGACAGAGCGAGACTCCGTCTCAACAGAAGAAAAAAAAAAAAGAAGAAAGGCCAAGACAATAATGGAGAGAATCAAGCAATGAGATGAAAATTTAAAGGAGTATGGAAGAAAAGGAGGAAAGAGAGTTACGTGCAGTTCAGTCTTTAAAAGCTGAAAGATCTAGGGCATTATCAGTTAGTCTCTGGAGATTTCCAGCTCATTTTTTCATTCCTAATTCCTCTGGTAAACTAGGTGCTAGCCTCACTTACCCCCTCTCTTCTGCATCCTTCTTCTCATTATTCTCCTTTCCACTGTGGAAAGAAACTCCTACTGTTTGTTTACAATCCAGAGTTTTAAAGAGGCTGAACTAAAATTGGCTGCTTCTGGGACATCCCTGCCAATGGATGGGATCCAAATTGGCTCTGCCATGAAGAGGCAGCTATGCCCACATAAGGATATTTTGGCTTAGTGCTTCTGTCGTCTCATTGCCAGGCAGACAATCATCCAGAAGTGGGAAAATACAGCCGGGGCAAATGTTTATAGCTAGAGTGGTCAGCTGGTTGGAACACTAGTCTGAAAGACAGGCTATCTGGATGTCGTGCTTAGCTCCTCATGGGAAGAACTTAATAATGTTGGACAAATCACTTAGTCTCTTAGCTCCCAATTTGATGGACAAGGACCACAGTACATATACCTCCTGTGTACCCAGGAGTATTTTTTATAAGTGCTCCGTTTATTTCTTCCAGTTTTGAGTGCATTGAAGGTAACTTTCTTTTCTGAAACGAGACCAGAGAAATAACTCTTTCGCTGTAGCTTTGCTAGTGATACAGTCAAGTTTAGAAGAAAGAACAATTCTCCCGGCTCTAGAAGAAAGACTTCCCTTTAGATATTTCTCATGGGCTAACACATTACCTGAAGATGGGAAGACAGGGTGTGTGTACAAAAATCACATGTAGAAAGCATATGTGTAAAACATAGACATATATACAGTATTTATGTAAAGATGTCTTTATCTAGACATTTCAGCATAGCTCCTAGTTAAGCCACAACTTTTATAACAGGAAAGCAAATCAGATTTGACTGCATTGGCTGTTTAAGTGAAGGAGCCACACAGATGGGCAAGAAGCACAGACAAATTGCTTTTGGCTCTGCTTTCCTTTATAACAACATCAGATATTTTTAGTTTCTTTTTCTTTATGCGTTGTGCATGTTTCTGCCTCATATAGAAAGTCATTGCACATTGTCTTCATCAGTTTTGCCACCCTCTACTAGTAGGCAAATTTAGCATTTCATTTACCTTTTAAATTTCTGAGATCTGAAGTTATTATAGGAAAATTCCATTGTCCAGATGTAGATGATGGCCAAAAAATAGGTTAATGTCATGAAAATAATTCTTATTAGGAGAAAAGGGAAACTTACATTTTGGACCTCATGAGGGAGGAATATTTCTGGAGGAATATATCGCAAGATAGATTTCAACATTGGTTGGAATTACACAAACTTCATTTTCAAGAATTAGAAAAAATGTTTTCTATGACAGACCCTGCATTAATGTGATGAACTGAGAGGTTCATTACAATAATTATGTAGGCCAGATGTGGTGGCTCACACCTATAATCCCAGCACTTTGGGAGGCCGAGGTGGGCGGATCACCTGAGGTTAGGTGTTCAAGACCAGCCTGACCAAAATGGTGAAACAACGTCTCTACTAAAAATACAAAAAATTAGTCGCACCTGTCATCCCAGCTACTCTGGAGGCTGAGGCAGGAGAATCACTTGAACCCGGGAGGTGGAGGTTGCAGTGGACCGAGATCACACCATTGCACTCCAGCTCGGGCAACAAGAGCAAAAATCCATCTCAAAAAAGATTATATAAAGCCCTCATAAACCTTTTACAAGTTGTCCACTTTGTTTTCAAAATCTTTTATTTCCAAGTAAGTGGCAGTAGTTGCTATTTTCATATCCAGGTTCCTTGTGATACTACTGTGTCAGGTTAGAAAGAGATGAGTATTCTGCAGATTCCATTAAGCATTCCAGCAGACTTTCTCATAATTATTATTGTCCTCCATAACCAGTTTATGAGCAAGAAATTAAGAACATGTGACTCAAACAGTACAGCAATTGCTTAAAAAGCTATTCACAGAGCTACTATATAACCAACCAAATAATTTCACTTCTAGGTATCTAACTGAAACTTGTGTTCATATGAAGATTTGTCAACCAATGTTTATGGAAGCATTATGGATAATAGTTCAAAATTGGGAACAACACAAATGTCCATCAAATGGTAAGTGAATAAAGAGAATGTGGTATATTTATACAAAGGAATACAATTCAGCAATAAAATCCATGAATTGTACATACAGGAAACAACAGATTAACCTCAAAAACATTATGCCGAGTGAAAGAAGCCAGACACTAAGACTATGTATTGTATGTTTAAATTTATATGACACTTCTAGAAAATGTAAATCTATGAAGAAAAAATATAGATCACTGGTTTCCTGGGGCTGATTAACAAAGTGGAAATCAACTGCAAAGAACATGAGGCAAGTTTTTGGGGTGATGAAAATGTTTTAAATTTGGGGGTGTTGGTTGCACAATTACATAGATATTTATTAAATATCATTAAGCTGATACTCAGATGAATCTTATGCTATGCAAACTAATCTTAGTAAGACTATGATTCTGAATGCTTATCCATTTCTATACATCTATGTCCAATTTCTATAGCTCTGTATTCTAATTTTGCATGCTGTGTAAGTCCAGGGAAATTGAGGTGTGCATGTGTGATGTTTACCCTCCTCCCTAATGTTCCAGCTCGAATAGAACTTTTCTGTTTCTTGAATATGCAAAAGTTTTACTCTGCTCCAGGAGATTTTTCTACACATGCTGCAACCTCTCCCTAGAATGTTCTTTCCCACCAAGCTTCTCAAGGTTGTTTTTATTTCAAGTTGTTGCTAATGTCACTTCCTCAGAGAGGTCTTCCCTGGCTTTGTAAAGTTGATCCCCAGCCCCCATAATATCTTTGATCTCTTTTGAATTTCTTTCACAGCATTTAGCTTAATTTTGAGTTAGTTTCATTTACATGTATACCTACACATTTGTATGTCTATATTTAGTCTTTTCTCTAATAAAATATAAGCCTTATAAGTAGAGTATATGTATCTGAGTGCCTGCTACAATGTGGATATTTAATATTTTGTGACAAATGAATAAATGAAAAAGAATATTTCCTGCATTAAGTGATGATAAGTTACAAAAATCCTGAATATTTTAAGTAGGTCTGCATTTCCAGTTTCCTTCAAGAATTTCTAGTCATTAATGGACTTATCTCATAGTCTATACTAGTATCCTGGGAATGTTCTGAAATTTCCCTGATATTCCGAGGGTCTTTGACATGGGTGTATGTTTTGACAGGGAGAACATTCTAAGATCTACGAGGGTCACCCTAACTTTCCCAGGTCTATCTCCTAAAACTTTATAAGATCGTAGGAGGCATAAAGACTCCAGATTTATTTAGTGACCTGTAATTACCAGTGACTAAATATTGTTTTTTGACACCTTATTTGGCACCTCACCTTAAAAAACCTGTTTTTACAATTGAATCAGACCTTCCATTGCATAAACCATAATACAGAATTAATATACAGTTAAATATGGCCTAAATATTGAGGCTTCCAAAAAACCTAATTTTCCTCTCAGGAAGTAGCTTACCCTCTAGAAAAATCTCACTAATTACATAATCTGACAAAATAATATAGTATAGTTTTAAAAGCTACAGTTAATACATTAAACATATGGTAATAATTTCTTCAATGATTACTAATTTTTACATTTCTCACCACTAATTATGGTATTAAATTGTTCACTTCTTAATTTGTTCTGTCCTAAGTTTTTATTTATTCCAGACTGAATGGTGATAAAATTGAGACTTCTGTATTTCTCCCATTAGCTTAACATCATTGATATAAAACTGCCATGTGTTGTCATGGTTTATTATCATACTATTCTCGGTGACTTAATTTTCCTGTGAAAATTACCTCAATTTAGCCATTTCAGATGTGAAGCAGTTTCAAAGAGTGTTTAACAAATCTTATCAAGACTGTTTTAAATAATTTCAACACCAGTTTGGTAATTGCTGGTTATAACTGCCAACCCTCCTGGGCTGCCTGTTTGCCCCAAGATAGCTTCACTAATAGATACTGCATGGACAAACTGGGCAGTTGGCAAGCAAAGAGTCAAAAGACGTCCAGCAAGTACTTTTTGTACTGAAATGAATGGAATGAGTAACTGCTTGGTACTTTAAGGTGTGTTCGTGTATTAATTGTCTGTGTCTCTGTGTAAATTGAAGCAGGATTTGTGGGGAGTGTGGAAGTAGAAATATTAATACCATAAACATTCATTCTCAGGGGCTTTAAAAATTCTATGTATTTAAAAATTGTATATATTTAACTTGACGATTTGATGTACGTATATACACATTGTGAAATAATCACCACAATCAATCTAATTAACTTATTCATTATTTAACATAGTTGTTTATTTATTTTGGGGACAAGAGCACTTAGGATCTACCTTGTTAGCACATTTTCAGTATACAATACAGTATTGTTACCTTTAGTCACCATGCTGTATGTTAGATCTCAAGAGCTGATTGATTTTGCATAACTGAAACTTTGCACACTTTGTTCAACATGTCCCCGTATCTTCTTTCCTCAGCCTCTGGTAACCACCATTCTACTGTCTGCTGTTATGAGTTTGACTGTTTTAGATTCCACATATAAGTGAGGTTACATAGTATTTGCTTTTCTGTGTCTGTCTTATTTCACTTGACAAAATTTAGATCAGGTCCATCCATGTTGTTATATGTGATAGAATTTCCTTCTTTGTTAAGGATGAATAACATTTTGTATATGTGCGAGTGTGTGTTGTGGGGGAGAGAGATAGAGAAAGAAAGAGTGTGTGTGTGTACTACCATTTCCATATTTGTTCTTCTGTCTATGAGCATTTAGGTTATTTTCATACCTTGGCTATTGTGAAAAATGCTACAGTGAACACAGGAGTACAGGTATGTCTTTAAGATCATGATTTTAATTCCTCAGAATAAATACCTGGAAGTAGGACTGCTGGGTCTTATGATAATTCTATTTATAATTTTTTAAGGAACCTTCACGCTATTTTCCATAATGTCTGTACCAATTTACAATCCCCTCAAACAGTGTACCAGGGTTTTCTTTTCTCTACATCCTTGCTAAAACTTATTATCTTTTGTCTCTGTAATAGAAGCTATTCTAACAGGTGTGAGGTAGTATTGCATTGTGGTTTTAATATGCATTTCTCTGCTGATTAGTGATATTGAGCATTTTTATATACTTGAATGTCTGTATGTCTTATTTGGAAAAAAATGTGTATTTAGGTCCCTTGCCCATTTTTTTAAACTGGATTGTTTTCTCTTTTTCTGTTGGACTGTATGAGTTTCTTATATATTTTAGATATTAACTCCTAATCAGATAAAAGTTTCACAAGTATTTCCTCTCATTTCATAGGTTGTCTTTTAATTTTGTTAGTTGCTTCCTTACCTGTGTAGAAGCTTTTTAGTTTAATGGAATCTCATTTGTTTATTTTTGCTTTTGTGTGCTTTTAGTGCCATATTCGACAAATTGTTTGTAAGACCAATGCCAAGGAGTTTCTCCCCTATGTTTTCTTTTAGGAGTTTTATAGTTTTTGAGCTTATTTCTAAGTCCTTAATTCAAGTTGATTTTTGTATATAGTGTAATATGAAGGTGCAATTACATTTTTTTGGCCTATGGATATCCAGTTTTCCCAATGATATTTATTTAAACGATTATCTTTTCTCCATTGTGTATTTTTGGCACCTTTGTTGAAGATTAGTTGACCATGTATGCATTGGTTTATTTCTTCACTTTCTATTCTATGGGTCTACTAGTCTATCATGTCTGTCTGTCTGGTGTTATGACAGTACAGCAATGTTTTTATTACTATAACTTTGTAGTATATTTTAAAGTCAGGAAAGGTGATGCCTCCATATACTTGTTCTTCTATCTCAAGATTGCTTAGGCTATCCATGGTATTCTGTGATTCCATATAAATTTTAAGATTGCTTTTTCTATTTCTGCAGAAAATGCCATTGAATTTTGATAGAGATTGCATTGAATCTGTAGATTGTTTTGGGTAGTATAAACATTTTAACAACACTAATACTTCTAATCTGTAAATATATGATATCTTTCCATTTTCCATTTTCTTATCCTTTCATAATTGAGTAGGATGCTGGCTGTGGGCTTGTCATGTGTGACCTTTTTTATGTTGAGGTGTATGCTTTCTATATCATGAAAGGATGTTGAACTTTGTCAAGTGCTTTTTCCGCATCTATTGAAATGATCATGTATGTTTTATTCTTTATTTTGTTAATGTGGTATATTACATTTATTGATTTGTGTATGTTCAACCATTGTTGCATCCCATGGATAAATCTCCTCTTGTTCATGGTATATACAGTTGAACTTGGTCTGTTAGCATTTTATTGAGGATTTGTGCTTCTGTATTCATTGGGGATATTGGCCCATACTTTTCTTTTTTTGTTGAGTCCTTGTCTGTCTTTGGTATCAGAGTAATGCTGGCAGCCTCATAAAATGGGCTTGCAGGTATTCCCTCATATTTGTTTTCTTGTAAGAGTTTGAGAAGAATTTGAATTAATTATTTATAAAATGTTTTATAGAATTCATCCATGAAGCCATCTGGTGCTGGGTTTTTCTTTATTGACAGGTTTGTGATTACTAATTCAATCTCCTTATTTATTATTGGTCTGTTCAGATTTTCTTCTTCTTCATAATTTAGAATTGGTAAGTTGTATGTTTCTAGGAATTTCTTCATTTCTTCTAGGTTATCTGATGTGTTGGCATATAATTCTTTATAGTATTCTCATGATCCTTTGTATTTCTGTGGCATTGGTTACAATGTCTCTTTTTCATTTATAATTGTATTTGAGTCTTCTTTTTTTCTTAATTTAGCTAAATATTTGTCAAATTTGTTTTTCTTCTCAGAAACCAAACACCTTTTAAAAACCTTTTCTCTTGCTTTTCTAATCTCTGTTTCATTAATTTCTCTTCTAATAATTACTCTTTCCTTCTTTTTGCTAACTTTGGGCTTAGTTTATACTTTTCCAAATTGCTTTGGGCATAAAGTTAGGTTGTTTATTTGAGATCTTCCTTTTTTCTGATGTAGGTATTTTTGCTATAAACTTCCCTCTTGAAACTGTTTTTGCTGCATACCATGAATTTTGGAATGCTGTGTTTCCATTTTTGTCTAAATATATGATTTTTAATTTTCCTTTAGATATCTGTCTTGACCCATTGGTTGTTCAGGAGTGTGATGTTTAATTTCTACATATTTGTGAATTTTCCAGTATTCCTTTAGTTACTGAGTTCTAGTTTCATACCATTGTACTCAGAAAAGATACTTGATACAATGTCAATCGTCTTAAATTTGTTAGGATTATTTCATGGCCTAACATATCATCTATCTCATAGAATCTTTTGTGTGTACTTAAGGAGAATATGTATTCTGCTCTTGCTGGATTTTCTGTATATATCCATTAGATCTATTTGATTTACAGTATTATTCAAGTCTGCTGTTTTTATTTTTATTGGTTTTCTGTTTGGATGCTCTAATATTGTGAGGATTTTAAAATCCCCTACACTTACTGTGTTTCTATTTCTTTTTTTAGTTCCATTAATATTTGTTCTAGAACATATATGTTTTTAATAGTTATGTCTTCTTGATGAATTGACCCCTTTATCATTATATAATGACCTTCTTGGTCTCTTGTGACAATTTTTGACCTAAATCTATTCTATACGATATAAATATAGCCACCCCTGTTCTTTTGGTTACCCTTTGCATGGAATATGTTTTTCCATTCCTCTACTTTTAGCCAATGAGTATCTTTAAGGTTAAAGTGAGTCTCTTGTAGTCAGTATAGAGTAGGGTGGGTTTTTTTTTTTCCCATTCCACCACTCTGTATCTTTTGATTGGGAAATGTAATCCATACACGTATAAAGTAATTGAAGTAATTTTTTATAGATAAGGACTTGTTATTGTGATTTTCTTCACTGTTTTCTGGATGTTTTATAGATTCTTTGTTCTTTTCTTCTTTTCTTGCTGTTTTCATTTAGGATTTGTTTTTTTAATATTGTTATGGTTTATTTCTTCTTAATCTTTCATCTGTCTATTAGATGTATGAGATTTTTCTTTTGTTATTAACATGAGGCTTGCATTAAACATCTTACCATTGTAACAGGTTATTTTAATCTGATAACAACTTAACTTCAATAGCATACAAAAAATCTACACTTTTACTTTCCCAACACACATTTTATTTTACTGATGTTACAATTTGTATCTTTTTAAAATGTGTATCAATTAACAAATTATTGTAGCTCCAGCTATTTTTGGTATTTGTGTCTTTTAACTTTTATACTATCACTAAAAGTTTTTTATTAATTGCCATTACAGTCTTAGAGTATTCTGAATTTGGCTATACAATTACATATACTAGGATGTTTTATATTTTCATATGCTTTCATGTTGCTATGTAGTGTTCTTTTTTTCTTTTTCAACTTTAAGAACTCCCTTTAGCATTTTTTGTTAGGCAAGTCTGGTAATAATTAACTCCCTCAGCTTTTGTCTGGGCAACTCTTTATCTCTCCTTTATTTCTG